AGACTAATATAACTACTCGTAGAACAGAAATAACCCAAAAACAGCGTAAAAACATTTGAACAACAATTTACATAATACAATATACACATTCAACTAAAGTCACAACCAAGACTAGGTTGCGACGCTGGTTTACAATAGGCTCTAGCCGAGTTAGTGAGAGTGACGGACGTATGCGTTCCGAAATAGAAAATAAAATAAACTACGTAAATACTTATTTTTATGTGTATATCGTGTTATTGCAGTGTGTACTCTTACATCGAATAAATACTTACATAATCTTTGCAATATATACATACAGGTATAAGTGTGAAAACATATTCAAAGTAGGTACATTACTACAAAAGTATTAAACAAGATTAACTATTTTCCTTACGCAGTTACTATTTCGAATAATGCTATGTGAGTTTGCACTATTGAGTTAAATAAAAATATACAATTAAAATTATGTAACATTAATTAAATTTTTATTGAATTGATATTCAATTATTTTTTGAGAAATTACTCCACTAGTTTGTTATAATTATTAATACAAAGATCGAACACTCAGAAAAAATTCCTTCGATCCGGTCGGATTCGAACCGACGTCTTCTTGCATACCGTGCCAGACGCTATACCAACTAAGCCACGGAACGAACCAACGGACCTCACGAATTCTTCTATGTGCTTGCGTCGTGTCTTTGTACTTGGTCTTTCATCGACTTTTTAGTCGTAGCGCCATCTATGAGAAATCTATTACAGATTTATCGCCCAGTTAGTACCTTTACAGCTACCAGTCCTGGCGAGAGATGTCGCTATTCACTGTATTAATTAAATTTTTATTGAATTGATATTCAATTCTTTTTTGTGAAATTACTCCACTAGTTTGTTATAATTATTATATAATTATTATGTAACATTGTTATACATATAATGTCATTATCACATTTCATTAGAAGTAATTCAATTGGCTCTAAAAATAAAAAATATACGAGCGCCTTTGCATGATCCGCCATATTTGAATCTGATAGCTGCACCGAACGAGGTACGGGAGAATCTGTCTTTACAGATTTTTTTAAAAGCTTGCCAGAGCCGAGAGCCGACCTAGAACCAACTAAAATTGCAAACAATAAACTATTTATTGTACTATTAGATAGTATTAATGTTATGAATAAAAATGTCTCCAAATTGGGTTTACATTTAAAGATGACCACCTAACGTGAAGTACATGTAGGTATTAATCATTTACAAATTACAATTCTCTTACATTTTAATTAATTAATTTTTAAACAAGTCGCGTAATCAAGTCTGCAGTCAGTGAAGTTTGACAAACCCCAGGTCCTTGCAAAAGAAGTCCGTTATCTACCCAGGATGCTGCGAGAGGCCATTGAAATTAAAAAACATCCTAATTTCAACAGGGAAGATGGTTTCTCCGTACCACCAGTTGGGGATCCAGTATTTCCTCTGATGAAAAATCCCAAACAGACATAAGACTAGTTTATTCTAATTTCTATTATCAATTAATAATAAATTGAACTTAATAAAAATTCATTCAATAAAATAATTTGTAAAACTTAATGTAGCGTAAATTGGAATGTTTTCTTTGTAAAATTAAAAATAAGGTATTTAATTAATAACTATTGTAACTATATTGAAAAAATGGGTGGTCTGCATCAATATTAGACATAACTGGTTGAAGACTGTACCACCTCAGTCAACCGTGACCATGGGACCTGTAAAGGGCCCGAAACGTCGGTTTGTTTGAAAAAAACAAATATACGCGATTTAAATCCGGAAAAATAGTTTCATTTCCTATGTGTAACAATCGCGAAAACCTAAGAACTCGATAATTTTTAAGGGCTCTAAATGCGCGGCAGCGTACAGTGCAGCTTAAATTTCAAATGCGTGTAATTTTTATTCCTTTACCAGATTTGTAATGGCTACTACTAACCATGTGCCCATTTTGATACCAATCTGTAATTCAGTATAACTCAACCCTTTTGGGGTGTCTACTTTATATCCATAAGCATATCCGTATGTAATTAAGTTAGGGAGTGTTTTGTAGTATTGTACCTGTTTTTATATACCTTTTTTGTTACAGCCTCTCTTTTTTCTCTTACCAACAACTTGTAATAAATTTCCGTAGACCTGAAGTTTTCTTATTTCATTCAGATTCACAGTGTAAATTGCACTACATGTCAAAGTATAAGAGATTATATTGAGATCGTCAGACAAAAATGAAAATTATAAGAAAAATACACAATAAATAGAAAATTAACAGTCCATTATATAATATTGTTGTCATTAAATTACCTTTAAATTTGTATTGAATTGATATTCAATTATTTTTTATGATATTACTCCAGTAGTTTGTTATAATTAATAAAACAAAAATCGAACACTCAGAAAAAATCTTTCGATCCGGCCGGATTCGAACCGACGTCTTCAAGCAAACCGTGTCAGGCGCTATACCAACTAAGCCACGGAACGAACCAGCGGATATAGATTGTGACGGTGTAACCTCCTTACATTGTCATCCCACCTTTTTATCGCCTTTCTCCGATTCCTGGCCACTCGTATTTAAATTAAAATTTTTAATTGTTCCATAGCTCTTTTGTCTCGCATTCTGATTTTGTTTCGTACCACTGTCACTCCCTGCTCGATCGCGACAGCGTACGGAGTGGTTAAAATTCAATCGCTTCTGATTTTCATTCCTTAACTAGCTTATACCACTACAGCCTTTATCATGTACCTATGAATACGTATCTGTAATTCAGTATATCTCGGCCCTTTTAGGGTAAATATCTACTTAATATACTTAATATTCATCAAGTTAGGGAGTGTTTTGTAATAACGTATAGGCGACCGGGTCTGGTAGTTCCCGGGGTAAGTTATTCTCACAGCAATAACTTTGCAAGGAAAATATGTAGCAATACATGTGAAGCGATTTCAGTTACCTACTCCGGCGACGACGTGTGGCTACGTGCGTGGAGCTGTCAAAATATCGCATAAGTAAATTTTTTCTTGTTTAAATTTTTTGGTCTGTCTTTGTTTATTATGGGCCGGTTCATACGTAACTTTTCTAAATTGTAGTGACATTAGTAAGGAATCTTATTGTTTGAGTATTTTTTTGATTGATTCTATTACTTTGCCGGTATGTCAGTCTTCGTGTAAAAATGTAATTTGGGGCTATAAGATCCTCCCTCGAGGGACTGGTTGTTCCTAGTAACAACTTCCCCAATTGATGACCATTTTTTCTTTGTTTTAAGGATGCGAAACTACAAACGGGCTCATGTCAAATATTTAGACAAGATGATAGAGTCACTTATGTGTGTCTCAACTGTGATTCAGATGAAGAAATGAGCGATGAATTATATTACTGATGAATAAGAATATAGTTGGTTTTTTTAAGTTAGTTGTGGATAATATAAAAATTACATACATACAATTATAAAAAAGGTAGTTTTATTTAAGTAAATCTTTGTTATCCTGTCATAATCTAGGCGGAACAATTTGCCTCAAAGGCGGTACAACGCGCCCCAAAGCGGGGCTGAAAGTTCCACTCCGAAATTTGTCAAAAATTAGCTTCTATGAAAAAGATTATTGCGATATTAGTAGAAGTGTCTATACTATTACAAAAAGCGATAAACATTTGTTCAATATTACCACATGTTGAAAATCAAATCCTTCCTTTTCAGTATGAAACTTCAACTTATTTGAAGGAACATCGAGCCCCGCTCTCCTCTACCTGTTTTTTATATTCCTTTTATTGTTACAGCCTTCTTTGGTTATCTTTTCGTCTCCTTAACCGACTTCAAATAAATTTGTGGACCTGAAGTTTTCTGTTTTACTGCTGTGAACCTGGTCACGGCTTTTTAGGGTTACCACCCCTTCAAGATTTCTCATAGATGGCGCTACAGCTAAAAATGTTCGATCTTTTGTTTCATATTTTTAATAAACTAGTGAAGCAATTTCACAAAAACAATTAAAATGGTGACATTCAATAAAAACTTATAACAATTATTAAAGTGACATCTCTCATAGCATAATGAACTTTATGATCTATTGTGTAACGTACAAACTTGATACTAGCCAAAATCTGCCGCGGAATGCGCGAGCGCTTCGATTCCATACCGCCACAACATAAACTGAGCCGTATGGTCTGGAAATATTGCTGCCATTTAATTGTGACGTTTGCACATATCCACATAGATATTAGCGTTCCAAAGGCTGTAGTAAAATCAATTTAACAGTTCCAGGCCCTCTGCAAGACTTCACGGTGTTATAAAAACTTTAGAAATATGCGATAAATAACCTAAAGCGTTTTAAAGGAAGCTAATATCTCCATTCAAACACTTTTATGTTATAAAAGCTATTTATAACTCTGCTTTACATCAATTGCCCATACAATAGCTCTATGACTAGCCTTTTTTATCTTTTTTAGGATTACATTTACCGTTGTACTGCTATTGTACGAGCGCCTGTTTAATTACTTTTGAATACGTCACTGAAAAACTTAAGTACTATAGCACATATCTTAAGAGGGAGCAGAGGAAAAATTCCTAATCTTCGATTTGATTTTAGAGGGGTATATCCACTTTAAAGTTAAAAATAAAAAATTGTATGAGTAACTACACGATATATTCAAGCATAGACACTAATCAGAAACATAAAACAATAAAGTTTCCTCGATAGATAAAAATCACGAAATGACCTCTAATTTTCACATTTTTTCGATTCATCCTCGAAATGCTACAGGTTATTAGGACAAAAGTTAGATAATTAATTATATTTATGCATGATCGACAACTGTCATTACGGATTTTTTTAAATCCCTTTAGTTTTAGAGTTATTCCGCTAAAACGAATTTGGATGTTGAATTTTGCTCATTAGAAGTATCTAATGAGCAAAATTCAACATCCCCTGTCGCATGTCACGCGAACTTCAGGCATATATTTGTTTCACAAATTTGGGCGGAGCCAACGTCAAAACTTTTTTGGCATGCTCCCTCTTAAACAGCTAATATGCAACTTTTAGGTTGTACAGAGGTAATATAAACAGCTTGCGTGCTTAGACAGTGTACAAAATTTTTCGTGGCCATCTATAATTGTACAACCCAATGTTTATTGGAGAGATTTTACCCTTGTCATTAATTTTATAGATTAGGACAATAAAATAGTGAGTATTTATTTTGGAATTTTTGGCTGACTTAAAAAGGCAAACTTAAAAAATTGTAAAAAAAGCTGTAATTGTAGTTTATTTATATTAATATTAATTCAATTGTCGTAGCGACAAAGACCTAAGGTAAATTTAGGGTTACTGAGCCGGCAGCCTATGCGTGAGTATGCTGCAGCATGCCTAAGGATACCGCGGCGTAATTGTCGCCAGTGTGCGCTTGCATGCTGAAGGATCATTTACCACGCCGTCCGTCCCGCCAATGGGCGCCATTGAACCTTCTGCGATTTATTTCTTCAAGGACGTTCGGAGGACCATTTCCAACTCTAGTCGTTTGTCGGCGATATGTTTCGCCTGTGCCTTGTCGCCGGTATTAGCCAGCCACGCTAGCAGCGTCTCGGCCTTATCCTTGACGCGGATGCAGAGGCCCTCCAGCTCATTTCTCGCTTGGGCCGCCTCTGTCCTGGCCTGCATACCTCGGTTCCTGATTTCAGCCTCTCGCACCAATCGCAAGAGCTGCTCTTGCGACAACCGCCCCTTGTTGGTGGTGATAGATACGTGCTTGCTGTTCTTTGTGATGTCATTCACCGCCGAAACGTGAAGGATTCCGTCGGCGTCGATTTCAAACGTTACGTACACCTTAGCTTGGCCTCGCGGCAATCGTGGAAGTCCCGACATAGTAAACTCTCCGAGTAGATTGTTATGAGATACTATGTGATTCTCGCCTTCATAGACGCTGATAGGGATAACAGTTTGATTGTCAACAGCGGTGCTATACCTTTCGGTTTTTTTTGTGGGGATGGTCGTGTTTCGTTTGATGATCACACTCATGGTGTCTCCGTACTGCTTGATGCCGAGCGAAAGATGGGCCACATCAACGAGGACTATCTCAGGAACGATCACAGAAGGATCTCTCTCAGCTATCAAGATAGCTTGAATGGCTGCGCCGCAAGCGACGGCCTCGTCCGGGTTTACGGTCTTGCTTGGTTCTTTTCCGAAGAACGCCTTCACCATCTGCTGAATGTAAGGGATTCGTGTTGACCCTCCAATCAGCACTACCTCATGTATATCTTCTTTACTCATCTTCGCGTCGCGCAGCACTTTTGGCAGAACGTCCTGGATCTTTTGGAACAGGTCCTGGTTGACCTCCTCGAAACGTGCGCGAGTGATGACCGTGTGGAAGTCTATTCCGCCATGCAGTGCGTCCAGAGCAATGGTGGCATTCGTAGCTGACGAAAGCATGCGTTTGGCGTGCTCACACGCCGATCTTAGTCTCCTCAGAGCCTTCCTGTCACTGGACAGATCCAGCCCGTACTTCCTAGTGAACTCCTCAACGCAGTACTCCACCAGACGTGTGTCGAAATCTTCACCGCCAAGAGTCGAATCCCCATCCACGGCACGGACCTCGAAAATGCCTGAGTCGATACTCAGAATGGAGACGTCAAAAGTTCCACCACCCACATCGAACATTAGCACATTTCGCTCTTCCTCTTCGGTCTTATCGAGACCGAACGCGAGCGCACCGGCCGTTGGTTCGTTGATTATTCGCCGCACGTTGAGGCCTGCAATTTTGCCGGCGTCTTTGGTAGCCTGACGCTGGGAATCGTTGAAGTACGCTGGCACAGTGATTACGGCGTCACGTACTGGTTTGCCTAGGTACGCCTCTGCCGAGTTCTTTAATGTGGACAGCACCATGGAGCTTATTTCTTCAGGGTAGTATCTCTTGACTTGCCCCTTGAATCGGACTTGGATCTTAGGCTTGTCGTCCTCGTTGACAACTGTGGAGGGCCATAGCTGCAATTCGTTTTTCACCACGGGGTCGTTAAAGCGACGCCCGATCAGTCGCTTTACATCTGCAACAACCAGACATTTGGAATTCAGAACCACATTTTGGAAATGTTATCTAGGTAGATAGGGGAGAGTGGAAGAATAATACATGTTGTGTCGTAACCCCACCTAGCGTGGGATAAAGACAGGAAGAAGAAAAGAGAGAGATACCTAATGTTAAACAATGATGACCTACAACGTGACGCGTTTGTCTAAAAACCCTAGTTTTTATAAGATCAAAATTTTGCTTTTTTGGAAAATGCTGGTAATGCATTGCATTCCTAATTCTCTCTATGGCATCATACAAGTGTCAAGGTCACCCAAAGGACAATGGAAACGGCTGTACTCGGATTTTCATGAGAGACTGCGAGGATCAGAATTAAAGTTATCCGCAAAAGAAACAAAGTAACCGAGAACACAGAGTAGCCCAATGAATTGCAAAACTTGTGACAGTGCGCGGGGCACATTGCTCGCAGAATACGTGGAGTGGAATATGCAACGTGGGCAAACTAACCACAAGATGGACCGATGTCTTGTGGGAATTCTATTCATTTTAGGCTTGGTATCCTATTGATCTAGCACTCAGTCGAAAATTGGCTCCTCTCAAGTTTATCTTTAGCCTAGTAAGGGTATATATCAGTGACCCCCCTCCATGGGCTCAAATCCCTTTTTTATACCATGGTACATTCTGCGCCAGCGCCGACACCCTCTGTAGTTCTGTACGCTCTATATAGCGGGTTTCCGAGGCCGTCCGAGCACGTACGTGGCGGCGTTTGGCGCTCATTCGGGTTTTGACAGAGTTCAAATGATTCAAATTATTAACTTACAGTATGAATCCGTAAAACAAACTACTTATGTTCAATTCAATAAAGACTTAACAACTTACCTTAACGCTCTTACCGAATGACATTCACCAGTGCCGTTTCTTTTGCTTTTTTATAATACAAACGTGGCTGCAGAAATAGCTATACCTTCTTCATACGACATTTTCCAAGCCAGACAAAATTGGTGAAATTACAGGCAATTGGACTTGTCGACTTGTGTCTCAGGGTGACAGGCGCAGTGGCAGTGGCAGTCAGATCTTTGCAATTGAAAGCTCAGAGTGGCACTGCACTGTTATGGACAGGCGTGTAGCTCACTTGATGTTATAAAATATTAAAAAAACATGTAGACTAAGCTCTTGACAAATACTCGAATCCCTGTGACATTTCGGATTCAGAACTGTTACGAACAGGACGCAAAGCGCAACTTTTTTCTTCTTCTTCTTTAATTCTTACATAATATAAACTACTTACAGACTATTGATCATAGTGTTGTAAAAAACTCAAGTCCGGGAGTATACATTTTAGGACTCGACTCCAATTCACAAGACTCGACTCATAAAGACAGACTCACTGCTCGATGTATTATGAACCTATAGAGTTTCCAAATAGACTCGAGTTCGATATTCGTTCTCGAGTCTGTTTATGTAACGAGTCGAGCTCGGGTCTGGTAAGTACAGTCAAGAGCACGTCAAGCTTGACACTTTGTACTTTGGACCGTTCTTATCGTAAGCGGCATAAAGTTGGATTTAAATCTTAAGTGTCAAGCTTGACGTGCTCTTGACCCTGTACCTACTGAGCGGTGTTGTGGTGTGGTGTGTTAAACTGTACTATAATTACTGTAATATAATTAAGTATTATATCTTCTTTCTTTTCTAAAATCACCATTATGAGTTTTTGTTTTTTAATTAATTCTTAGGCATTAATAGATGTTTAATAAAATAGAACCCTGCTAGTTGTCCACGCGACTTTGTAGTGTGGAAGTCGCTTTGAGTCGAGTTTTGTTCAAACTCGAGTTAGCTTTACGACCCGAGTTCTTTTAAGACTCGAGTTTGTGCTCCGATGACTCGCGCTCGACTCCACTCGGTGTTTTAGACCACCTTTTGCTTGCTTTTGATTGCCTCTCCCGATCGGAAACTGCGTCTTTTCCGAGTCGAGGCGCATAATTGCGATTCACAACTGACCGATCGGAAACATTTGACATTTCTATGATTCTGATTTAACTCACAAATTAGAAAGATAGAGTAGGAATCAGGTTCATCTTCTCGCTCGGAAACCCATCTCATTTCGAGACTACCCGATCCGTTCGATCCCGATTTGAATCAAAATCAGCATGCTGGAGTCGAGTTTTTTACAACACTAATTGATCAGCGCCATCTAGATATAGGACGGAATTTTGACTTTCTTCACAGTTACAATCAGCAGTATGGAGTTTAGCAGCCTCTTGAGTAATGACTCAAGAGGACCAATGGGTCCATGCGTGTAATAAGGGCGAAAAAGCCGATGTGCTACTCAATTAACTTACTGAATATAGTGTTTTCTGGGTTGATTGCATCCTGGTTCTTAGCAGCGTCACCGACCAGCAGATCAGTGTCTGTGAAGGCCACGCAGGACGGCGTGATGCGATTGCCTTCTTCGTTGGGTATCACCTCCACCTGTAAAAATACGCATCTTATAAACGGTTGAGCCGTAAGTTAGGCACAAAACAATAAGTAGATGTGCTTAGTTCGCGTGGCACGTGTGCCCAAAGTACTTGTATAAGTAAATAACAGTACGGCATCTATCGCCCAATGTTCGGAAGAGTAGCCTTCTAAGACCGCTCGAATTGAATGTTCCATCAAGATATCCGAGATCCAATTCCAAAGCCATCTTCTGGGACCCTGGACTTTTCCCTAAAGAATGAGTTGCAGTAGAGAGTATTTATCACTTCGCATGATGTGCCCGAAGTACTGCAACTTTCTTCCTTTTTACTGTTTTGGAGCTCTAAGCCTTTGTGCATCCTCCACAATACGTTGTCATTGGTGATTCTATCACCACTACATAGATGGAGTGACCACTACCATCCATGTATGGAGTGAGGTGGCCCATACATTTTGGTTCTTCGAGCCGGATGGAGGCTAGATCGCCGCGTGCGCAGAGTTGTTTGTTTTCAAAATTCTTTATTTAAGTAAGTAAGTTACATATGTAAACACTAAATTACACATTACAACATCAAATTTTAAACACTTTATGAGGCTAAATACACCTATCAAAGTTTAAACACATCTTTTAAATATTTCTTATTACGTCATAGATGCTTAAGTACGGTAATTACAAGACGTAATCGTAAAACTAGGATTGTAGTGTGAATCATTGTGATTGATCACTTATAACCTATTAATTCTTTTCATATTTTGATTTGTTATAATTTAATACAAACAAATATAAGGTAGAGTGCAAATAAAATTATTTGCCGAGCTCAGCGATCGAATTACGACCAGTATAAAGTAAGCGACGAGAACCGACCCGCAGCCCCCGCGCTCATGCACTGCAGGGCGCTAGCGGGGCCGGCGGGCCGGCGCTTGTGTCTCTTCAACCTGGTCATGCGCATACTCATAGCAACTATTGTTGTCAGACGGAGGAAACAAAAGGTAGTGATGGGGTAAGCGATATGTGCCGTATCTATCGATGTAAGGCAGATTAGTAATTTTAGTGGTACAAATATTTTAAATTAATGGATTATTGTGGACGAAATTTTTTGCGTAAAATTTACGTGTGATTTTTAATATGAAGTTCATTAGCAATGGTCAAAGTCAAAGTCAAAGTCAAAGATTATTTATTCCATAGGTAAAA